TGTGTGTGTGTGTATGTACATACATATATGCGTATGTGTGTATGTATGTATGTATGTATGTACGTATGTATGTATGTATGTACGTATGTACGTACATATGTATGTATGTATGTATGTGTATGTATGTAAGCATGCATTCATGTATGCATGAATGTATGTGCGTATATATTTGTGTATGTGTGCATGCATGCATGTATGTCAATATGTGAGAGAGAGAGAGAGTGTCTGTGTGTGTGTGTCTCTGTGTGTGTGTGTCTCTGTGTGTGGGTGTGTGTGTGTGTGGCTTGGAAGCTTTGCTTCTTGTTGGTTTTTGTGTTTCTGTTTTTCTTTGGGGGAGTGTCTCGAGGAACATGCTCATTATTCTGGGTTCAAGTGTTTCGTTCCATCATCCCCCACAGTGACTTGGAGATCCGACTCTCCCATCCCACGCACTTTCGACTTTCAAGCGCTCTACCCAACGCAAGCTGCAGCAGCCCCAGCGGTCCCATCAAGACATGCAAGCGCACACACACACACACAGAGACAGACAGACCTGCCCTGCAAAAGGCAGTCGCGTCGATTTTTCATTGTTCCCGGACTCTAGTATGTCTCCTGCAGTAGTGCAAACATGCATACACTGACACACTGACATACAACCGCGCGTACGTGCGAATGTATACTCGGATACACCTGCACATACCCGACGACAAACATGCGGACAAGACGTACACACTCGCACGCACAGACTCTTCAAGACACCCGGACAAGCAGCAGAACACAGACTCCAAAGTACTCAACCTGATATCCTATTTGGAGACTGTCGAGGTTCTTCTATTTTTTCTGAAGCTGCGTTGCTTTCTGCAAAGAAATGACGATAGCCCTGCTTGCTTTGCCTTTATTGATAAACCTGCTCGTCTCTCACAGAAATATGGTTAATCGCTCATTTCTCGTCGAGGGATAGGGTGACGTCTTATGCTCTTCCGGAACGATAAGGAATTCTTGTAATGCCGCTTAACAATGAAGGACCATGCGTGTTGCTGGAGAGAAGGTAATGGAGTTGTCAACAGCAAATGCATGTAGGATATACTGGAGTTGCCTTGATGATTCCCCAAAGCATAAACACATGTTACAGAAGAACTTCCGCAGGCTGCTGGAGTGTCACACCTCAATGCCAAAGAAGGTTCAAACTCCCAAAGACCTAGAATCTCCACTGGAGAGTGGGGGAAGTGCAAAAAAGGGGAAACCACCTCACTCGCTCCTGACAAATGTCCATATTAGTTAGCGTACAAGACACCAAAGGAGCAGTGGCAGTGACTGCGCGACAAACCATGCAGACCTACCCCGAGTTCGTCGCGACACGTCGCCACACCACACCTTACGTCTGAAGCCGGTGCACACCGAGAGCAACGCAAGCGGCGCCGAACTACAGAAGCGCAGGCGACGACGGCGATGGGAGCAGTGCAAAAGCGATCACGGATCACCACGGTCACGCAGCAGAGCAGCAGCAGCAGCAATAGCAGCGCCAGCAGCAGAGGCACCGGCGTGGAAAGAGAGCGCGCGGCGGGCGATGGCGCGGTATTTAGCCCGCACGACGAGGACCGCAATTCGTTCCACAAGGTCGTCAAAGACCAAAGCGGTGCAGGAGCCCTCACTAGCAGAGACCGCCTCAGCGACGCCATGGAGTACCGAGGAACCCTCTGCAGCAATGGTGCCCTGCGCGGTCAAGACGATTGGCCGGAAGCGAATACCAGCGGCATTGCAGCGAGCTGCTGTGTCATGGAGCCGGCAGTTGTGGTCGCCACAAGCACGACCAGCGGCGGTGCCACAAGATTCGAATGCAGTTTTCCAGTGACTGGGGCCGTGTGCATTGATAACGGCAAAGTCCAAGGCAACCCGATGGGAGCTCTGCATGTGAGCACCGTCGGGAGGCGAGCTGGGAGGCAGGGGCGCACAGAAGCACATCCGGCAGCGTGGTGCCCGGACGAGTCCAGTAAGAGACCGCAGAAGTGGCACATTGCAGAAGCGCGTCCGTTTTCTTCTGAAGGTCAACAGGGTTTCTTACTGAAGGGTAATATTCGTGGAACCCCGTTACTTCGGCTGTTGTACGCCAAAAAGCATGTGTGGTCAATGCTTCTTTTTGCAAAACATGTCCGAAAGGTTCCTGGTTGAAAAACTAACAGCTCTTCTGTTTATGATTTTAAGATGTAAAGAGCTCGCACATGGTGCACTATGATCAAACGTATTGACGTATAACGGAGGTCTCGTACTTTCTGAAGTAGAAACAACAAGGCTCTCGTATTTCCCACGAGGATATAGGCAGGGCCTACCTTAAACGAAATTGGAAGGAAGGGAGCTTTGTTTGTTGGCTGTTTACTGGAGGTATTGTTTTGTTTCTTTTTCCGTGTGGAGAAAACAGCATAACCATCGATGTTTTCCAGACTCTACAACCTCAAGTCCGCACCTGCAGACGCAAAGGCGTGGATCCTGGGAGGGGGGAGGGGGGTCAGTGTTTGAATATAAACAAGAATATGTCTGGCTTCAAGGTCCCAATCTAAACAAAGACGCTGCCTGTTGCCAGTTTCCTTCGCAAGATCCTGCCAACTTTTCAGGTTCAAGGCGGTCGTCCGACAATGAGTACTCGCTCGCCGAGGGTGCTGCCAGTCCCAGCTTGACAGTCGACCAAGCCTGTCCTCCATGGAGCAGGTAAGCGCCAGATACTCGCCCAGGGAATCCCAGCGAAGGTGGTTCCTCGGCAATCGACACTGAGAAACTGAATTCCCTCTGTGGTTGCAGGGAGACTTTGATGTTGTCCGAGGATCTCCTTTGTGAACTGCTGGACGTGCTTCGGGGCAGAGCCGCCTTACTTTGCAAAGACCTTTCTCCATTCCCTCTACACTGCCTACAGCACCATCAGCATACGAGCCTGCCCCGGTCTCGTACATGCCGCCACCTGCACCCAAAGACCGGGAAGGAGGCGGCCCATGATTGAAGGCCGCGTCTGCCTGCCAACATAGGCACGACGGAGAGCATCTTCGCGCTTGTCCCGAGCTCCAGGATGGGGAACAAATCCTCGGAGCGACAAACTCGGAGCCTGTTTCACAGGCAGCTCTAGGGTGTACCAGCCGGGAGTCGGTCAAGTAGTCGCGGAGGACATTGCCTGTCACCTGAGCACGTGATGCTTGGAGGACTCCGATGCTGGATTCAATAAAGGCGGGACCCAACTTTGCAAGAATGATGTGCTGACGGGTACAATTGTTGAATCATCTCTCTGGACAGCCGTGTTTCACCAAGTGCCACGTCCAGCCATGGCTACAGCGACCATTTGAGACACGGACCTGCATGCTGCACTCCCGCATGCGGCTGCCCGTGCCGCTTTCAGGTGACGAGTTGCGGTGATGGTGTTCAGACCCTGCTTCGCCCGCTCGCAAGTCACACGCATGGCCTGCAGCCAATCTCACGGATTGGCGAGGCACGAGGAAGCGTGCTCAAGATGTGGATACTGATGCCTTCGAGGGCGTAAAGCGGCTTTAACCATCACCTACATCAAGCAAGTGAACGCCTGCTGTGGGGACATGATCTCAATGTCCAGACCCTCCGTGCGCACTTCCTTGCTGCAGGGGAACGGAGGAAGAGCTTGCGGCATGTACTGCACAAAGCTCTTACTTTCGACCATCCCTCTTCTCAGTCGGACCGGGGTCGGGCTTGGCCGGGTCGGGGTCGGGAGTCTGCATCCCTCGAAGTATTCGCCCAGATTCCGGCAAGTACTTGTGCACCTTCTCCATAATCTGGGAATCGTGGGCCCGGGCAGGATCCAGCCAGAAGATGGCCTCTGCTGGAAGAAACCCTCATAGCATCTGACCGCTTCTTCTGGCAGGGGCAACCTTGCAGGGCTTCTCGTTCCGGGGGAAGTCGTTGGCTTGGCATCGGCGGACCGCGAGCTTCACCCAGTCCTTCAGGGGCTTCCGCGTCAAGGCTCCGAGCCCTCCGACATGTAACACCGGTTGGCACAATAAGGTCCCTTCTGGAGGATGAAAGTGAGAAGGGCAAGTCAAGCAAGAGCACTTCTGAAGAAGTACGTCCCAGGCTAAGCCTCTACAGCACGAGCGAAACCAGCCAGAGTCCCATCAGCTGGACCGCAACTGCACAATGCTGGGGAAGTGAATGAGTTTGTGAGTGGCAAGCTCTGTGTCCGGCAACCATCCAGGCCTTGATAGGAGCGTCCTTGGTCTGGCAGGAACGCCAGATGTCCCCCTTCTGCAGCCGATGGCCCAGAAGCACCTGACCCCAAAGTTCAGGTTGACAGCTGAAAACTGAGATCTGTTTGAAAACCTCCTGCTTGCCCTAGACATGAATTAGGTTAGTCCATGACTTCTGGATGCTCGGCAGTTTCCAGCATAGAAGTCGAGCCTTGTTGCTGGAATCGTTCAGGACAATCTGGATGGTGCCAGAGCATGGCGCCTCATGCTGATGGGTCTTACATGGTCTGACATACGGTCTCGGAAAGCGCAAAACGCAGCCGGTGGACTGAACGACATGCTTGGGCCAACATGAAGAACAAAGGCCAATCCTACGCATGCAAATGCAGCGCCCGAGTACCGAAGAGAAAGACTACCCTCCATGTAGGCTATGCCACAAGAGCAACAAGGAAGAGCATGGGACGGAAGCTCTTCGCTTCACAGCTGCTGTGGTCCAAATTTTCCAGTTAGTGGCATGGTGTGAAACATTGTGAAACCACTCTGCCACAAGCGACTTTCGGATCTGGCAAGGAATGGCTCAGAATACGCCGGGCGTGTGGCTACAAAAATTTGGAAACGGTGCCTCTGTGCTGGGCAGCAGGAAGCCAGCACGAACTTGCACATTTTGTGAAGGGATATTTGCAACATCTGCAGCTTGGTTATTGGTTTAGCAATGACTCCATTCATCGACTCTAACATAGCCGCCGTGAACAAAGCCTCTCTACCTGAAACATATTCCCAAAGCCCCTCCGGCAGGCCTCAAAGGTTGTCGGGTGCGAGCCGTACTCTTCGGCTTTCCTTTCATACGAACATTCAGCGATGATATGCTGCGTTTTATGAGGACATGACGGATGGGTGATACGTCGATGATGTGCTTGCATATACCTAATTCAAAGTCGGGGAGCCAGGCTGGCGGAAAGTGTCGGCACGCCAGTTCTGCTTGCACACGGTTTTGTGCGGTTGTCGATTCTTGAATCCCGGCTTGGCGAAAACGGCAATGCACACCATCTGCTCGGCTCTAGATTGACAGCTGCATGACGGTAGGTGTGCCTTTTGTGCTCTGTGTTTTTTCTGTCCTATTCTACTGAATTCTACTCTAGTCTCGTAACACAAAGTATCAGAAGAAGCTGGCAAAGATTTCAACGTCCTCCCTACTGGCTGTTGCACTAACGACGACGCCAACGACTTGGATGCCCATGGTCTTGTTGATGATGACCAGGTAAGATGACGAGGCTTGTTATGAATAAAGACCTAAGACCTAAGACACTTGCGGCCCACCCTCTCATCCGCTGGCGGGAACTGAGCTCGACAAGGTGCTGAGCCATCAAGCCAACGTTGGGGCACGCGCCCATGGTCCTGGTTCGGAAGCAGGAGCTTCATGATCCCTGGCCCCAAGTGCTCAAGCAAGCTCACATATCCTAAGCATCTCCAGGCACCGAGGTCAGCCTTGTTCCCAGTTCAAGACACTCCAAACCGTTTAGGGTGGGGGGGGCTCCTCTTGCCTCGTTGGGTTTTTCGGGCTTCCGGCGAAGATCCGGTCGCCAGGGCTGAGCCATGGGATGATCGTCAAGTTTTGCGGCTTCATCCACTTTCGCAGACACGGCTGAAGGCATGATGTGCCAAAAATCTATGCATGTTTCAGAGAGCAGGTCCTTGGGTCGAAAGCTCCATTCGTCTTGCAGAAATCGATGCACTCTGCGAAGGCACCCGCGTAGCTGCGATCCGGAATGCATGCCTCTGTCAAATCTTCTGTGTCAAGGCGGCTCTAAGACGGAACTACTGGCGTAGCGGTGCGCAACCTTCTTGAGGCTCGCGGTTGTGGAAGCTGACCAAAAACAGGCCGATGGCAGTAACTACACAATGAATGTTCCTCACAACCACCCAACCATGCATTCCATGCCTTGAAGTCCTCCTCTTTGTCGTCCTTGTTCCACATTTTGCCACCAGCACGAATGGCAGTTGGCATCGAATTGTCGATGATGATGTCGCTCGGTACGTGGAGGTTTGTGATACCTTGTCGCACACAGCTGGTAGATGCTTTCTTGCTCTGCATGCTTCCGGCATGACGTCTTTATGGGAACCCATAATATTTCGGTGGGAATTGGCAGCCGGCGAGTTTTGGATCAGGAGGGGTGTGTTTCGGGACCCAGTTTTGGAACGGCAGGGGTCAGTTTAGCGGTGCAGCGGTCAGAGTAGGGGCGCAGGCAGGGAGGGTTGGGGGGGGGGAGGGGTGCGAGATGTTGCCAGCTGACTAGCATTAGTACCACGTACTACAGTACTTCTAGTGTCTAGTAGAACCGAGATTTCTGCGAGTCGTCGCAACAATTCCATTCGACCACTCTCTGACCTGGTCCAAGCTGAATCCACACAACCACCAAACTCTGCCAAACAATCCGTGAGATCTGACGTCTCCGCCTTGGACCCCTAAATCCTGAACGCTCAACCCCAAGTCATGAGGGGATACTACTGACTTGTTCATTCCCCTATAAAACTTATGTTGGATGGGGGAACCGGGGGCTCTTTTAAAGTATGTATTCGTTATTGTTGCGGCTCCCAGAAAGCTCGGGCACGATGGCAGCATGAAGCAGCGCAACAACCCAGGGTCAGGGTTGGGGCCTGAAACTGACCACATCCTGATCCGACACTGACCTGGCCTCCGCCCCGAAACTCAGCACCCAAACTACCTTGAAAACGGCCACCTTTTCGTCTTTATGCGTCCAGCTCGGAAGCTCCGATCCCCCGGCTCTGCGCACCTCTGTGAGAATCGACCATCGCCATTTTCCTCGGGAATCCGCGTTACGGTTGGCTTTTGACTCATGCTGACGCGGTTACGGCCGTTCGATCCGTCAAACCACCATGGGTCGAGTGTGCGTAGCTTCCTTTCGCAGCCCTGTGCCATGCCCCCAGTTCCAGCTTCGCTGACACTCGCATTCCATAGCATGCTCTGGCGTAATGAAAAACCGGGTGGCCCCTGCTTTGCATAGGTGGCCGTAAGGTCTGCCTGGAGAGGCGAGGCGAGTGAAGCATGCAGAGATCAGAAGCCAGCGCTCTTCTTCTGATCGCAGGTCGGTTCCCGGCCTCGATGGCCGCCTTCTCGGCCTCCGGAAGTGCCGAGATCTTCTTGTACACCTCAGGCCAAGCCCGCCAAGCCAAAACAGAGCAGACCTGTGAATGCACACGGGGGCAGACTCCCTCGCGGCGCTCTTCCCTCCATTCTTCCCTCCGCTGCTTTGGTTGATGGCGGCGAAGCGGCATCACCCAGCCCGTTGTTTACCTTGGATATCTCCGGACATTGCCCGGTAGCCGTCTGCAAAAGGCATCCAGCCCAACAGCAGGCAGCCCCTTGCTAGCTATCCAAGGCCTCCCGCTTGTCTTCGAGTCGCGTTGACGCCCAGCTTCTCGAAAGTCTGAGCATACTTGGAAAAAACATCCTTGAAGTAGGCCTGGCCAGGAAAAGTCATCAGAAATACCTATACTATATAGATCCATCCCTGCGAGCCGGGTCTCCTTGACGCAGTGCCCGAACATGATCGGATCGGAGATTTTCATCATGGTGGCTTTCAGGTGCAAGGAGAACAGCACATCCTCCATGCAAAACCCGACACTTAAAGCTTGCACTTTGCTCAACACAGCTTCTTCAGTGCCCCACTGTAGAACAAACTCCAACAACTGGACCTTCTCCCGCGCATCGGCGATCTCCCGTTCAAAGAACTCACGCAGCATGGTGCAGTTCATGAAGCTGGCCTGGTCCAGGCTAGCATTACTAACGCTTGTTGCACAGGGAGATGGACATAGCCAACTAGGGGGTGGCCCTCAAATTCAATAGACTGTCAGTGCCTGTCAATCCCAAAAAGGTTAAGCTAGGTCGGGCCGGGCAACGTCCAAAATCTCGCCCTTTTGCAGGGAGATCTTCTCCTTCAGCACAGTGACCTGCAGTTACAAGGTGAACGACCGGCAAAAAGAGTACAAAGTGTGTGGAAAGGCAGAACCTCGCCAGACTCGGACACCATCTCGATGCGCGCCTCGCATGCCTCACCAATTCACCACATAGGAAGGAGAAGTCACCGTGCTTCGGAACACAGAAGCCTGGTTTAGAAAAGGCCACTCAGATCCTCTCGCGATCTGTCTCGGCCTCCGGAATGTTCACCGACTTCTCGTGCGCATAGAAGTCGCCATCAGACATAGACACCACCTAAAGCCGCTCCAGGAAGAAAGCAACTTTCAGTCGGCAACTGTCTCCATCCGTACTGTGCATGGTGCTCCGAATCCCGAATCCTCAATCTTGCTCAATCTACTAGAACCTTCCTTGGGGCTGGCTGCATGCGTCTTGGAGTCCTTGGACCAGGCTCCCATGGAGTGCGGGTACTTGAAAGCCTGGATGCAGTAAGGTGCTTGCAGGTCAGCCATGGAGCGTCCCTCGCGGCTCCAACCCGCTACTGTAAACATGCGCCCCCCTGCCCCTGTAGCCAGTTCCTCTGCCATGGCACATACTCCTTCACGGGTACTGCTGCGCGGCGGTCGGAGTTGCCCTCGCGAAGCACGGGGTTCACGGCGCTGCCCAAGACCTGCCAAATTACGGCTTTGGCACAGCTGCGCGATCTTTGCTGGCTTCCAGATTCGGCTTCTTCTTCAGGACTGGGCTTGCCGTCTTAATCCGTGCCTGCTCTTCCATTGCATGTATCGAAACATCACGGATCCGATTCTGCGAAACTCCCATTGCGCCTTGGCATAGCGGGCCTTGATCTCCTTCTCCGCATCGTCCTCCAAGAACCCCGTCGACGCCTCCCTCCAAGACCCGAGCAAAAAACAGCAACAACAACTGAACTCGCGGAGTCCTTGGGATCCTCTGGGTAGTTCGGAATGGCAAAGCCCTGGCCCTGCAGCTCCGCGATGCACTCCTGGCGAGCTTGAAGGGTCCTACGGACGGCTTGAGGCTCAAGAGGGCTCCTTCAGCTGCGGCACAGAGGCGCTCACATTCGGCAACTTGATGATGTTGGCCTCGCAACGGCACTTGGAGAGTTTCTGTCGACAGGCACGCTTGAGGACTCCATGGCAACAGCCCGAAGCAATAATTTCAACAAGCCATGCTTCAGTTCTGGCACTTCCTAGCAGCAAATCGTTGGGACTCGTAAGCGCCTTGGCCCCGAGAAATGCGTCCAACCGTGTTTTGCAGATAAAAGACGTATATCAAGCTGAGAACTGGGACATACTGTAGACCGTCATGGATTGCCCAACAGGTGCCGAAGAGTGTGGGTAAGCTTGTGGGCGGACTGCCGGACTGATCGGAGCAAACGTCCCTAAACAGTGAACGAAGATACGAAGGGCTTCAGCAAGTCACTCTCGAAACTGCAGACGGATCGACAGCCCTGCGGAGGAAACAACAATCGAACAAGGTCTGGGAGGGGTTGGAGAGATCAAAGTTGAAGCGCAAGCTCCGTGCCTGGCCACTCTGCGCCAGGCGGCCCAGCTCTGCCAGGAAGTCGCCAGCACGCTGGTCCTACCACAGGCTGGGGATCACACGACGCCAACGGCAAGCGAGGACCCTGCATCGGGGCCTCTTTCAGCATGTCCGGGAACAAAGCGAGCACGCCTCTGCACGAGAACTTTCCCCAACCCAGTACTGGCCTTCCTTCGGAGTGACTTGTAACACTTTCGTTGTTGAATGCTTGTCTGCATCGGGGCCCGAGCGTCCCGCCACGGAAATGTCCTGCAGCAACTAGTTTGTGTCCAGGAAAAAGCAACTCCTCCCGAGCAGCTTCCTTCAACTCCATCTCGACGCCGGCTTGCGAGCAAAACGCCTCGCGCAACATCGCCGCATACGTTCAATTACATGCCAGTGGTATGGGACAGTGATTCATTACGCACGGGCAGGTTTGCACGGAGGTTTGCGCTGCGCGGCGTCCCTTACCGAGAATATGCCCATCTTGGGCTGCGCTCTGCCGGACTGTGGTTCGGAGCTTCTTGCTTCAGAACCAAACCTCCCCGAACACTCCTGTCGCGCACGGAAACATCTCACCGATTCACATCTTCTTTCAACATCAACTTCTGTAGTATGGCAAACGAAGAGGAGTCGAGCACCAAAACTGCGAGGCATCAGCTTCAACCCAGCATGAGATCGGTGCAAATAGATGTAGCATGCACATCAAAGGGGGGACCCCTTCCCGCATTCTGACTCAAATTCAACCCGACCTTGCCTTGATTATCGGATAGAGGGCGTGGGTCGCCAACCTGAGCGCTGATAAGCGTCCAGTGGGGATGCGCCTCGCAGACGTCCTGGGTTCCTTGCATTGGCGCCTCATCCGTGTAGGTGTAAGTGATCTTTCCCTGCGCCATGCTATCCCAACCTCCCGGCCACATCACCAGCTCTGACAGTTCTCACAGCACAAAAAACTCAATTTCGCGGCCCAGGCCTTAAAAGTCACGGCAAATGGCACGACCAGGTTCTTGAGACAAAACTTCTGCGGAAAGTCAAGTGGGCCGGGACACAAGGCTAACAGCTCAGGGGCTGGTGCACAGATCCAGCTGTGACGTGCTGTCACACCAGCGCCCCCCACAACGAGAGCAACGATCCCTGGCTTGTCCAGTTTCATGTCGCAGAACCGTCTGAATGACAATCCTGGAAGAGCTTGCCCGAAGCCAGTTGCCCTGCTGCGCCAGTTTTCCGTAAGTTTAGAGCAACCAGCCTCTGGGCAACGAAGGTGAGGGCCTCAACATGCCTGCATTGGTTGTCTCGGTCGCTGTCTTACGAACCGCGGAATATTGCAGGATGTGTGCTGAGACAGACGAAGAGATCAACGCTTGGTGTCAATACAAAGCATCAGTAACGCATGGCTACAAAGAGTCACCTACTGCATGTATAACGGTAGAGGAAACAATAAACAGATCTGTGACTACAGATTTTTTGCAGCAAAAGATTGATACAGTACAGTTCTAAGTCAATGAGGATGCAACTCATGAGGCCAACGAATGGGCGTCAGAGTATGCAGAGCTGCATTGTCGAGATATCACAGACCTTCTGTGTGACCGTCTGGAATCTGGTATTGATGAGTTGGATTCGGAGTGTCTAGGAATCGAGTCGCTTGTTACCTCACATGGTCGCTCCGCGTAGTCCAATTCATTCCAATGACATCTTGTTGACATCTCTGGCAATGGTCAGTGTGCAGAACAAGACCTTGTGAATAGCACGTATCGCATCGTGGGGTCTTGTCTACTGAATTCCAGGAAGGCAGATGTTGTGCTTACTGAATCTCCTGCAGAGAACCTGATCTTGGGAATAGGCTGCAACAGTGGTCAGTCTCGTGTTCAGGTGGGGCAATTGCCATTACTTGTGAGTTTCCTCGGTTGTTGGCAATCTTAATATTGCTTGATTTGTGATGCACATGTTTACTGGTGACTCGGTGTCGGCAATACGGACACTAGGACCTATAAGCTTATGACGACCTGCCTGAACTTAAGTTCGGCAGTTCCTCATGTCTACATGCTGATATTATGTGCCTGTTGAAATGGTGCGTAAAGAAGGGAAACATCTAGAGAAATGTGTTTGTGTTTATGATGTTTAGGAAGTTTACCTCAGCAAGGAACGTTGAACAAATCTGAAAGTTGTGCAGGGAATTCGCGCCTGTCGGCGATGAGGAGGGCCGCGAAAGGCTCAAAGGCCATCGCCTCGTTGGCTTGTCTTTCTTCAACTCCGGGCCTCTTTCACGACAGCATAAGCGCCTCTAAGAAGGCCGTTGAATGTAGTCATTTTCCTAGAGTCCCCATCCTTCTGTTTTGACGGACCAAGGCCGAAAGCGCAAAAGCGACCCTTGAGCTTCCCTTCGAACCAGCATCACCCGATACCACAGTGCAGCTCCCCAACGTCCATGTCTTGAGAAAGACATCTTCTGTAACTACGGTAACTGAAATCGGACCTGGACCAGCTCCGACGCACTCGCCAGTGATCGCACCGGCGCGGTGGTCATGCGCTGGCAGGCTTCGGCGCTTGGAGTTTCAGGCTGCTGTCATGCTGTGGCAGGTTTACGAAGGCTTCGGGCTTGGAGCAAATGCTTGCTGGCGGAATGTCCGGGCCATTCTTGGAGGCTGGCGCCTGGCTTGTCTATCATCCCTTTAGCATTACGCATATTACGCAGGTCTGTGAAGAAAACCACCTGAAGAGGGGCCACCAACTTATCGGACAACCTCGAATCGGACACTGACAGCCCTGGAAAGATCCCTGCCATGGTGCTGCCCAGTCTTCCTGTTTGACATGTCCCGTGCTGCCCTGACCTTGGCATATCTGAGGAAGCCTTCTTCTGTCCGCTGGCCCCTTGCGACGGTGCTTGGATCGTTGAAGGGGTTGCATCAAACCAATCGCAAGCTCCGCCTGGCCTTAACCCTCCCAAGCATAGCGGCAAGCACAAGCATCTCGAATCTCCCCGAAAACAGACGCAGAGAACAAATCGTTGCTCTCGTCAGTTCCTCAATCTTCGATTTTCTCTACTCCACTGCATGACAGTCTCCCATAATGTTTTCAAGAGCTGCTCGTGGGGGATGATCAGATGAAGTTGGATGAAAACCACCAACCATGCAACTCACAACGGTTGCCAGCATAGCTTCATTCTCACTGGCAAGTGCATCAGGCTCTCCCACGCGAGGCCTGAAGTTCTGTGGGGCCCGGTCAGCCTTGCAAGGATCCACGAAACTCAAACTCTGCCTTATCGGTCTCAGCCTACACTGGTCACTAGACTAGAACAGCCTGAATCGAAGAACTTGAAAGTCACTGCCCCATCTACTACCCTGGCGCTTGGACCTGAAGCTCATGACAGACGGCTCCGAGTCGCAAGCCTGAACTGGGGGCTTAATCTACACAACCACTGTGCATGTCGAATCCAACGAGCCCAAGAACCACTTGCAGCTTCCTTTTGATATGCGGCAGTGACGACACGGCGACACCGGTATGCTGGCAGGAGCTGGCCATCCGTCAGGTGTTCCTCGTCATCGAGCACCGAGACGAATAGATCTGCGTACCATCTGCTCCTAGTGGTGCTCCAGGAAAAAATGCATTTTGGTGTCAGGTTCCAGTCCCAGTCATCAGGTCAAAGAACAGCTCTTCGTCAACGAGGGATCGCAGACCTCCTGCCTGCTCCTTCAAGAGCTGCAGGAACCTGCTAAAATCCAATGCAGCCACCATGATTGCTTTGTTTGGCGAAGACGGCTGAGGCCCCAGTCACTCTTAGAGGCGTCGTTGTGGAGTAGATCATCGACGTCTCTAGCTCCCACAACGCCATGCGCGGGCCTGCGATCCACGACTGCCAAAACTGCGCGGACGGGGCAAGATTCCTGGCATCAGTCAGTCTTGGTCGTCAGAAGCGCTTCCAGGAACAACACTCCAAGTCTGGACCCTCAGCCCTGAATCCGGAATCTCAGCGCGGATGTAAAGCCAAATCCGGGACCATTGAGCTTGGGTCGCCAGCAGCACTTTGCTAAACTTGGGCAGTACGCGGACAATGGAAGTGCCAAAGTCATGCGACGCGCAGACTTCAGTCACGTGGGCAGAGGCTGGCCATCCATCAGGTGCTCCTCGTCGTCGAACAGCCAGACGGTAGGTGGCCTTCCGTGGCAAGCTCTTCCCCTCATCACCTCGTTAAAGATCTGCCTGTACCAAATGTTTCTGCTGGTGCCCAGGGAGGTGTTCAGTCCAGAATCGAGATGCCATTCCAGGGTGATCAAATCAACGATGTTTTTACAAAAGAGCTGCTTGTCAATGAGGGAGCGTAGAAGCTCAAACTCGCCTCCTTCAATATCCAGCTTCATCAATCGCTTCCCTGGTGGAGCATGGTCCTTCAAAAGCTGCAAGAACTTGCTAAAATCCAATGCTGCCACTGTGACTGTCTTGTTGCCGGGTTTTCTGTAGTCTGAGTAGCGATAAAGGCTAAAACCCCAGTCACTGTCGGAGCCCTCATTATTGTTGAAGAAGATCAACTGGCCAGGGTCACTGCCACTGACAGCCACATTGAATAGCCTCACTCGCCAGCCTTGAGCCGAGTAAGACAGTTCAATTTCGCGAAGACGATCCCTCCACCTGTCCAGTGACTAGTTCATCCGGACAGGCATGCATGACTCTTGCTAGCAGAGCTACAAGCCGCGGATTATGTGCCAAAGGCTACGGCAACTAAGATGAAATGGCCGTGATCGGGGTGGAAAACCGGTACCCTGATCTGAATCACCTGCCTCGGATTTGCTTCAAAGGCGAAGGCACAGATTCCTGTGTGGCGCGACGGTTTTGAGCGATACGCAGCTCTGCCAAAGAATTCATTGAAGACTCTGAGGTACTTCGCTCCCTTGTACTTCAGAGGCTCGAAAAGCTTCCGGACATGGGTCGCCCGATTTGCGCCCAAGTCCAAGAAAATCTTCGTGCAGTTGAAGAAATCCTCCGGACCGATACCTCCAAGTGGTGAGTCCACATGCAAATGCCGCTCGCGTTGGCTGGCCGGAGAGTCCGGACTGGGCCTTCCCAAAGCGAGAAGGGAAAGAGCCACGCTCGCTGCAAGAAGCTTCGACATTCAGCAGAGGCAGTCGCCGGGCAGCTTCCGTTGCACAGCAGAGTCACGCAACATATCTGTGGAAATGACAGCCTAGAGGGAGGGCACACAATGGGTCTATCTGACTAACGATCTGTGCAAGGAAGTCTTCGTGGTTCTGCCCTGGATGCCCTAGATCAGAAGCAAGTAGCTGCTAGCCAGAGGTGATGAAGGACAAGTGTGCGCAGGGACGGTCAAGTGCTGGTGCTTTGCTTTTCCCATCTTGAAGCGCTTGGCTTGGCCAGGAGTAGATCCTCGACTCAGACACCACGGTCATCGCTTTGAGTCGAGATCAGAAAGGATGGGGAGCTAGAGCTGCGCTGCGACCGACATTCGAAATTACCGTCACCGGAGGCTCTTCAAGATTGGCCTTTCTGATCCCGAGCTGGCCATGGAGGGAGCACAGCAACAAACCATAATCTCTCCAGGCTTGGCATGTGCCCTCTGCAATCGAGTTGAAAGAGCTTGTGAAGTGCAAGCATTGCTGTACAGCTTCCTCTCGAAACCTGCACCTTCTTACCCTCACCACAGGATGACCTGAAAGAGGACACCCCTTCAGTACTGCCCCTATTCCTCGGGCACAAACATTCCATCGTCAGAGTACGGCCAGCCATCATCTCGGATCTCGGCGGCACGTCTTCGGGCCTGCGAGTGTGGTCTGCGCTCAGTGTGCTTCAGGCTTCTTCCAGTACTGCAGCTGCTAGAAGCAATTCTAAGACTTACTAAGACCTCCGACTATTTGGACTGAAGGGATTCCGTAGACAGCACAAATCCTCTGCAGGATCTCGAAGTCCGATCACGTCGTCCATGCCATGCAACCTCTTCCTGAGCAGTGAGAAGAAGGCTGGCTTCGATTGTCTGGCCTAGAGAACATGAGAGTCCCAGTGGCTCCATGTAGTCCGGAGTCTCGCGCTGCAAGGCTCGGTAGCGCTCCACATTGGCCTCTGCACTTTCTGCGCTCTTTAATGGTCTCAATGTGCCGCAGAGTCTTCGGTGTTAAGTTGGATTCGTTGAAGCGAGGTCCAGGACATATCGGATTCGCACTGATCCCGGCAAGTTTCCCGGACTCTGCATCAGCTACCAATACCAAACGCACGACCCTACGTCGCTGCTTGGGATGCACTCGGCCTTGCCATCCGGTGTCGACTCGTCGCTCCAGCTGCACTCCTGCGGGGCCCTTCATACAGGGGCTTGCCGCGCGTGCAAGATCTTACCTGCCCGATTTCCACTCACACTGAGTGCAAACCCCTCGACTCCAGGCGTGCGAAGGCGGGAGCACTGCGCTCATAGATCCGCACGAAGTGGCCAATGAAGCGAGTGTAGAAGTTCCTCGCTGGAAATCGTACACGGTGGCTTCAATCGACGCACAGATCTCGAATCACTTCGCGTCCTCTGAAAATGTTGTGCCGAGACTCTCAAACTCGACTTGTAGCTTGGTCCTCTCGCCGCCCGACGGCCCGAATAAACCAACCTGCGCTTTCATGAATTCTTTGGGGCAGAACGAGCGATTTTTGGGGCCCTCGGCCTCACGACAGGCCCAGAAGTGGAGCCGCATCCATACCCGGCTGTCGTCGAGCTTGAAGTGGTCGCCGACCTGGCAACTTCCCGCACTTGCGGAGCCCAGGCCCAAGTGCTTCCACGGAGGGAAAGTTGCAACGGGTGAAATGGATCTCTCCGCCGGAGGCCAGGCGCGGCCTGGTGCATGGGGCAGCCTGCTCGCTTGGGGCAGTGCCACCCCGCAAAGTGTGCAGAGGAGCGGTCGTGGACCAAGAAGTCCTCGCTGACAGGGGGACCCTTTTTCATACTTCAGCTTTTTATTAAAAACTCTTAATAAAAAAAACTGCACTGTCGCCCTCCTCCAGCTCCAGAGCACCCTTGTGGTTCGGATACATGATCTGCTGCTTCAGAGTTGCCTTGCCCCGGGAGCACACAGCAGTCAGTCAGGAGCCAACGTGCTTCAGCAAATTTCGCCACCTCCTCAACTCAGGCCCTTCATTGACTGCGTCGGCTGGGCTTCACGGACGGAGGAGTTTTCATGTGAATGTCAACTTGGTATAAGAGGACCGGAAGTCTGCGCGCCTCTTTCTGCTTGCGGCTACCTCGCTCCCTTGTCCATGGCTGCTCCGGGGCACCCATCTTCTCGGCTACCTAGTTCTCCGAACAGAGAGTCACATCGCAACCATCTGGCAAGTTCGCCACGGACGGTCTAAAATGCCAATCCAGGGACCCAGTTCGCCAGCCGTGGTGCATGATGGCTCACCTCCGCTGACATGCCACATCCCCCACTTTCCCATCACGTCGCGCAGCGCCTCTGTCGAGGCGAAGAAGGGCTCCAAGTGCGGATTCGCGAAGACCTTCCAGGACTGCACAGGCTCAACCGCGCCGCATCGCCCCGCGCAAGACAGGTGGACTTGGACGTTCTTTGCGTGACGATCCAGGGCCTTGGTGTAGAAGCAAGTCGTCATCTCCAGTAGTCGCGACACGCCTCCCCGATAAAACAACAGTCGCTTTTTGGACCGCACGAACGGGGACGAGCCTCCGATTTCCTTCAGCAGCTTCCTTGAGAAATCGTTGGGCTTGTGGCTGTTCTCCTCGACAGCGGGCTAGCCTGTTACTTCGTTGGAATTGTTTTGCCTATCCTGACGTTAACTCTGCTTCTCCTCTTTTTCCCCCTTCAAAGACGGCCAGGAGCGCCCCACTCCGAGCTTTGCTCTTGAAGCAGTCCTCGATCTTCATCACCGGGTACTGTTTGCCTTTGCTTGCGGCTGCTCCAGCTGTTCCTGGACTCTTCAGGTGGGCACCTGTGCTGAAAGCTCTCCAGGCTGGGCCCTGCCTCGCCCTGTGCCGGGGCCTGGGCTGCTCGCCCCTTCCTCCTGCCCCGCAAAGGCGCACATCCCCATGGCCGCACGATGGATCTGTCGGAACCCAATGGCTGCGACCGGGATGGGGACTGGAGTTGCAAACGTGACTCCGGGCTCCATGCTTCTAGCTTTACGGCCCAAGGTCCCTTGCAGACAGCCGGCCTCCGGGAAGAAGAGCTTGATCGTCGGATAACCCTGAACCTCGAACTTCTGGCAGAGGGTCTGGCATGCAGGGATACGAAGGATTAAGCTCCTGGTTTGAGCCTGCTTGGTTCCTGCTTCGGGGTTCAACCCAGCAGCACACTCGGGCCTTTCCTTTGCACACGCAGCCTTGGCTAGCCTTGGGCTTCTTTGGGCCCAAGCAGCGAAAGCTGCCGGGCAGAGCTTGGTCCAAAGCCCCAGCTCAGCCTCGCAGCCTCAGTCCTCCAGGTATTTGGCTGCCTCGGCTGCGGCAGCCGCCAGAGCCGCCTTGCGCCGCGCCTCTTCCCCGAGAAATTTGCCGGAAACCGCCCAAGAAAAGAGAGCACAGAGGGCCTCCTCACGGATGCGAGAAATCATGACGATGGTGTTCTTCCTTCCACTCAAAGAAAGAATCAAGAGCATCCATAACAGGTTGTCACTGCTGTACTACAGGTCACATTTGAATCCAGGATTCTAGGTGCGACCCATGTTGAAACTCGCACGTTAGCAATGTGCATAAGGCACCGTGAAGAGCTACAACGAACATCATGCGGAATCATGCGAAGTCTTCATGACTGCAAGCCAAGAAACAACGAATTGAAACCTTGCTCCGCAGCGATGTCATACGCGCTCTCTTCCAGGTCGTTGCTGGCACCAGACAGGTTCAGGATGCGTTTTATGCTCTTTGCGGCGTTCTACACGTTCCAGGTGCTTCTGGGACATTTCTGCCTCAAATACGCAGGCAGAGAACTCAACATTTTCCCTGCTGGAGCGTCACGAAGCCTGATGTCCACATCCACATCCTCCTGAAGCAACCAGGCAACCAGGTCCTGCTGAGCCTGAGCTAGACTCAGTCCTGTGTCTGACAGCACAGTCTTGCACCCTGGGCCGGGGGGCTGCGGCCAGTGCCAGCATCAACGCCGTGTTCCTGGGAGTAGGCTGGAATCTGCGGCGGGTCGTTTGGTTAAGTCGAGTGGCGTGTCCGAATTACGACGTGCGGATACCATCAAACGTAGTGAGCAGAGGTGCCCGTTCTTCTCGACACCATTCAAGTCTGCTTGGCGCCTGTGTAAAAAAGCTCGCCGCTGAACTTCACGTATCGACAGCAAAATCAAGCATCGAGATCCCAAAGACTTCGCTGGGGAGGGCCGGATGAGCTGTTTGGCGGCCATGGTGTTCCCCCTTACAGCGGCAATCATCAGCGCCGAGATGCCTTCCGCAAGGGTGCGGCATGACAGAGCGTGCTGCAAGTGCTGGCAGGTGAGCCTTCCGAGGTCGTTTGCTGAGGCGTGGCGTGCTTCCGCAGTAGAAACTTCACCACTTCCTGGTGAAAGCACCAGGCGCAGGTTTCCATCCCCAGAAGTTTGGATGCAGTTGCTCCTCTGTCTACATCGCTACTCCACTCTTCTTCTGCTCCTGTTTCCCTCGCTCTGCGGCATAGAAAAGCGCCGTCCACTGCCGCTTGTCCTGCACGCCCAACGCGAGTAACCCGAGGCTCAGCAACCATAAAGTTAGTAAAACGACTGAGTGAGCAACAGGAGAGAGCGAGAGAGAGGCGAAAGCCTTGCTGGGTTGGGATAACTGACCCTCTGCTCGTCGCCAGCTGTGGAACTCGCGAAGGAGCGAGCCAGCGTGCAGTGCAGATTTTGCAACAACCTCGAATGTCCTGCAACTTGATGTCAGCACGGGCCTGTGCACAGCCACGTTCGTGGAATCATGTAACTCTGATCTCGCAATGTCTGATCACTTAAGCCCAACACAAGCTCAATGATGACATGCCGAAACTCTGAACTAACGCTTCCACCTTGCATGTCCTCACATGCCTGAACCCAGTCGGCTGCATGGCACTGGCGCTTGGAATGCCCGCCGAACCCAGGCCAACGGCCAAGAAGCCTCCAGCAGGAGCGGCGGGATTTCGGCGGAGGCGTCCATGCAGGCCAGCCTTGCAGAGATACGGAGATCTGTGCCTGTGGTCCGAGACATGCAACAGCAGAAAGCCGTCACCAAAGCCCAAGAGAAGGAAGGAAGAAAAGGGGGGGAGGAGGCGAAGTCTGCAAATGGACTTTTTCAAGAACTCTGAAGCAGTGCGGCGCTGCTTCATCTTCATTGCCGCCACAGTCAGGCTTTAATGCTCTGTCGAAGCCTACCTAAATTCACATTGTCGTGACATGTTCGACGTGATAAATCAGCTGCCGCAATCTCCTGAAGAGCTACCTGTCGCGACCAGGGTAGTCGCAAGGCCGGAGTTGTTTGCGGGCAATGAGCTCCTGCTGATTTACAGTGCTACTGCGTGCTACGGCCTGAGGTCGCGGCATCATTGGCGTCCGACCGGCCACATCCTGCTTGGATCTTATCAAAGCATCATACGAAAATGGACGCTGATGCAAGAAGGGCCTGGGTGTCAACGGAGGCCTTTCGCTCCAGGAGAAACGTCACGGCCTAGCCCATGCCCGGGTCAGAGCGTTGACACACTGAAGTTTGCTACCCATGTTTCGGCGTCACAAAGCAGACGAATTCCCCCCCGGTCAGCCCGCGGCTTGTTGAAGACGTCTCCAAAGAGTCTACTTTAAAGTCCAGGACTCAAACGCTTGCACGGAAACTCCAGCAGCTTCTCGAGCCTCTGTGGAGCTGTTCCGGCAAGCATGGGATAGCGGCGTCCAGCTCAAGCAGTCCTGTTGAGTTCAGTATAATATGCATAAAGGGGATTGTTAGATTTGTTCCATTCTGTGGGGTTAGACAACCGCAAGTAGCTCCTTGTTCTCAATGCCGATCTTGGCATCCAGGAGGAAATCCAAACAACTCACCTCGTGTGGTGCCCAAGGGCATGAGAGAAAACGATAAACAGCAGACCACAACCAGCTAAGCAGCCCTCATATTGAGGCCGCAACCGTCGAGGAGCTCTTGGAAACCGCTGCGAGCATCACCACATCCTGAAAAGGATCGAGCTCTGCTACTCGAACTGCTACTCGAAAAGCCTCAATTGGCCGGACTGTAGGAGTTTAGCTCGTAATGGCTTCGTGTTCAAGTTCGGGCTTCTCCATTCTTCACCGCAGCTAGTTGACACATTCAAGTTTCACAGCATTGAGCGCCTGTCCCCTCAGAGTGCGCTGCGTCAGGTCCATGCCCTGCGACGACACGGCAGACCATCACTTCTGTGCCCAAAATTTCTATGGTAAGCTGTTACGCTCTGAGCCAAGGTTTGAATGGACAGGGGCCCAGGCTCACACAGCTACGACAAGCAAGCGCGCTGCGCTTTTTCACAAAGCCAACACTCATGTGCCTTGAGAGTCGAAAGGCACGTCCGGTTTCAGCACGTCTGCAAAAAGCTTGCCAAGAACAGCCAAAAAGAAATCGCGGACCACAGTCTTCCACCAGCTCTTCGCTTTCATCTGCTTCGTCATAATGTGACTCAGCTGGTGGCCGCTGGGCACCCAGTGGAACGGGATCAAAACAGGATCGTCCACGACCGGCTGTGCTCCTCCGCGCTCTCTTGCCCACCATCGCTTGGCCTCGTTGGGGAAGATCTGCTTCAGGGCAGCGAGGTCGGTCGATGATCAGCCTTCGGTCCGCCTTGGGCTTCCGGGTGTCGTGCCTATTCACGAAGTCTTACAGGCTCTTGCAATCGGTGACCGCGTGGATCGGCATGATCGTTGCCGCCTCGGGCTCGTGGACAAGCCTCCTCTTGAGGAGTCACAGTACGGACCGTCAAAGGTGGATTGCACACTCCGCTCCTTCACAGCATGCCATTGTCTCCCCGGCGCAAGTCGACCGGCACACCCTCTTGCAGGCATGGGGCTTCCAGGCCAGGACGCTCATCCGCACGGGTCGTCCTCCTATGCTGGAATTCTCACTGCCAACACGATCTGGGAGCCGACCCCACTGCCGACGAGGTTCTCCACGGCCTCGTCCTCTGGCTCACGCCCCAGGCTGCATCGTGGTAGAGAACCACACACACTTCTCCCAAGGGGACCGGCTTGATCTGCATCCCGTGGTCCTTATAGTTGTTGTTGATCGCCTTGTTGGTGTCCTTCACGTCCTGCAGTGTCGGGTTCCCTTGCCGCGACTGTGCAAAGTTCGCGGCACAAGCCAGGTCGGGCCTGCTCTTTTTGGCCATCCAGCTTGGGCATCCCACTGCGGTGCTTTGTCGCAGCTGGTCGGTGACCTGATCTTGGTTCATTTCTTGCACAAGTCGCTGAACTTCAGGCGCTCCTCGACGTAGTCCTCCTCGGTGATGCTGTAGCCGTCGCCCTCCTCTTGTAGTTGCTCCAAACACACTTGAAGGAGTCGTCCTCCCACTCGCTTATGGGGAACACTCGGCTCAGCTCCTCCTGCGTTGCCTTCTTAAAGATCTCATCCACCAACAGAAGGAAGTGGTCGATGTTTGTCTCCAGAAGGCCTCGTGTCTCGCCGAAACACGAGCAGGTCGATGAGGTTCTGCTCGAAACTGTCGCCTTCCACCTCAACCACCGATTCGGTCACGCCTTGCAACTTCTCGAAGCACAGCCTCGGGCTAGTGGAGAGCCCAAACACGCCTTCACGATCTCGATCAGGACTCTTTTCTCGACACCCGGCAGCTCTCTCGGCGTTGAACTAGAGACCCCTTGGCGCGGCGCGGCCACCCCGCTAAGGAAGGCAGCCTGGACGTCTCCGATGGAAGGAGACCATCGAAGGGAGACTGCGCATTGCACGCCCAGCATCAAGCTGTCCTGGCAGGCGGTGGGGACGTCGACGCCGAGCTGGCCAACCCCCAAATCGGCGTCTCGGTGCCCCCCACGCATAATCTGGCCTTGCCTGACTGGGAGTTCCGGTGGCCCTCTGTGCTCTCGCCTTGTCCTTGTAGGCGAAACTCAACGTAAGTATTTTCGGGAGGGAGAATCTCAACGTAAAACTTCAATTGGTCACAGTACCGTTTTACCTCTGCTTCCACGAAAGCCGGCCTGTCCTTGGTGCTATCGAGGGCCACGGGATCTCGCTTTCCATCTGCTTCTGAGTGCTAGCCCGTGTCGCCGCGACCTTGCCGAACATGACTGTGCCATCTTCGCTCGCGGCCCCTCGGTGGTCTCTCGGTCCTCGGTGCATGGCCTCCCTCTCATCACCGGACAATGGCGCAGATCGTCTAGGCGTCGCCGTCTTCGCTCGGTGCTCACGTCCCAGCCATGTTCTCCATCTCGAAGAACTTTTCCTGGAACTCCCGGCACCCTCTCCGAGGAGCTCCTCGAAGATGTCCTGGCGGTCCTCCTAGTCCTTGGGCTCAGCCGCCCTCTGCCGCAAAGAGTCCTCGTCGATGATGGCCTGCACGTCATCCATCGCGGCCCTCACCCGCAGCACCTCAAAGATCTCTTCCGCCTCTGCTGGCCTGAGGTGTTCGGGGGTGCACAGGAGACGGCGGCATCGTTGCCTGTGGACGTGCAAGTTTCGATCCAAATTGCCACTGGCGTCTTGTCCTTCTCGGCCCGCTTGTGCCGGTATATGAACACTAGGTCGCCGGGCTCGTAGTGGGTCTTCTTGACCCGACTCCGGCGTACTCGCTGCAATGCCTGGTCCGTCTGCACCCTCGTGAACGCAACTCGGGCTGCCTGCCCCGTTCTGCCGTTGCATCCGGTTGTGTAGTGGGTTGTTGCTGTCGTCGAAGATCGAAGATGTCGCCTGGCAGTCGTGGGTTGGCCCCGAACACCAATTGTCGCGGGCGAAAACCGCCCTTGTTTCGAAGCTGGATCTTGGCATGGGACACTTCGGCAACAGCCCAAGGCCGCCACCATTACACTGTCCACCGTCCTCTCCCAAAGTCTTTTCCAGGCTCCGGCGCGTCTTTCCGCCAAGCCGTGCCACCAAGCCGTGCTGCCAGTGTGCTGCGCCGGCGGCATGGGACATAAAGGAGCCGAACTCGTAGCACATCTCGTCGAAGGGTCTTGAACCCAGTCCAGATCCAGCGCGAAGGTGCGCGACGGCCCTGCCCACGAGACCCAATGATCTCGCACTGTCTCTACAAGCGTCTTGGCAGTGCGGTCCTCAGACTCGATCACGACATGGTATGTTGAGGCGTAATCCACCATGCTCAGGGCGAGTGTGTTCCTTTGAGACTGCTGAGGGCGACTTGGCTCTTGCTACGGAGTCGTTGCGGAAGATCAGGTCCACGCCCAGCACCTCGTTGAAGTCTCTGCGCCGGAAATTGGCTGTCAGCCCAGCCCTTGTATCGGCCGAAGGCCAGCACCGTGTCGTTGTGGGCCGCCTTGACGACGACCCCTTTCGTCGGCCTTCACCATCTCGCGCACCTCGTTGATGCTCCAGTCCGGGTGTACTCGGCGAGCTCGCTCACCAGCGTGGTCTTGCTCATGCCCCAAAGCGCCACCCGGGACGACATTCACCTCAGGGCCCGGCAGCCTCCAACAGCTGCGTCTTCAAGTTGCACTGTTCAGTCTGCCAGTATGTGGGAAAAGGGGTATTTGCGGGGCACCACGTGCACACGGACTGACGTGGTCTCCACGCTCCACCCAAAAATCACTCTGTATTTTGCTCCCGCTCCACCATCCCAGGAAAGCTTCGATGTTCAGAGTGTGGTGCGCGAGCATGCCTTCAATGGCTGGCGGCAAGCGCTTAACCCGGAAGAGCCTGTATACGGGGCTGCGCTGCCGAATCCCTTGGTCTCTGCCCTAGTCTTTGACGAGCTTCCGTGGCAACTCGGGAGCTTCAGTCAGCCTTTCGGGAAAGACCACCACGGCGGGGTGCCCATGGGTCTGCACCAAAGGCACGCCCTTCGTCTCGATGGCGCTCGGGTCCACACTCTCGGTGGATCCACCCAGCTTCCTCCCAAATGCTGGCAACGCCAAACTTAAAGCACTCGCTGTCCTCTTCAAACTCGTAGGCAATGCCCTGGGGCTCGGCTTCAGCCATGTACTTCTCGAACCAAGGGCAGCAGACAACTGTGCTCGCACAGCCTGGGTCTATGCCGGCCTGGGAACCTTCTGAGTCTGCTTCCTCTCTCCCAAGCCTCGACCTTTCTGAGGTAAGACCGGGTTGCGCTCCCGATCTCTCCTTCCTCGCCCGCGTGCCCAGCAATAAGCTTGTCGCTGCTATCTCCGGCTCCACTGCCCACGCCGACTATGCCACTGCTCCTACTTCTCTGTTCCACCGCCGCTGCCCACGGGTCACCTCCATCTTGCGGCTGATCGTGCAGAAGGCCTCGTGCGGAATCGTGTCCTCGCTGCCCTCCGTCTGGCCGCATTGCGAGGCGCAACATCCGAGTTGTCCCCGCCAAGGGTCTGCTCGAAGCGCGCCCAGTGCTCGCCATCGGCCATGGCGCGAAGGAGGAGCCCGGGCTCCACTGCCAATTTGAATGGACAGCGGCCGAGGCTCACACAGCTACGACAAGCAAGCGCACTGCGCCTTTTCACAAAAGCAAAAACACTTATATACGTGCCTCGAGAGTGGAAAGGCACGTCCTGTTTCCAGCACGTCTGCAAAAAGCTTGCAAGGAGAGCACCAACTCACAATCATATTGACACAAGGCGAAGCTATGCTTCGAGGTGCAGGGGTAGGTCATGGGTGAAGGTTTTCAGTATATCTGAATCCTCCAAGACATGGTTTATACATTCCTTTCAACGAGATCCATTCTGACTTGGAAAGCCTGTAAACCTTAACATGGAGCCCTTCTTTTCTAGAACCCCAAGTTGTGCATCCTTCTCAAAGGGTAAAGAAATCCCTTGGTGCAAGCCATACAGCAGTTGCAGCGGCGCCAGATTTGTGAAAATGTCGCTAGTAGGGGGACTCAAGCTGCAACTACAGGCTTCACGGAGTTTCCAGGCACCCCTGTGAATATCCCCAAGCTGTCATCCCAGTTCCTCCTCTGCGCAGTCGACGACTTTTCCTGATGCCACCGGAGACAAACTCCAGGATCACGAGACATAGTCTCAGGACTTGACTCAGCAGGACACCTTGCCATGAAGTCAAGCAGCTGAAGTCGCCCACCCTCAGCGCCTGGAAAAAGCCTGCGTGGCACGCATGCGCAGTACACACGCGTGCGTATAGACAGACAAAGACGGAGAGACGGCAGAGTCCGGTACTGTAGAGAGTCTCGTGAGTCTCGTCAGAAACGGGCTGTCATGGTGGACTGGGCTTGGAGCTACCGCACGGCCCACTCTGGTAACCTTCGATGCGCTGGCGCTCGTCCTCTGCCACCTCTCGGCCGTCCTGGGGGGAGTAGCCCGACCTCTGTTCGACAATTCGATGTGCGTCTGGGATCTGGGGCCTTGGTTGGGGGCCTGCCATTGCGCCGCCGAGCACTTGCAGATTTTCTAGCAGGGACCCACCGTCACAGTGAAGGCATCCGTCTTCTTGGCTCAGCACATCTTCAACCTCGCTGTGAGAGGGTGGGCGAACTCCCGGGCAGCCTCCTAAGTTGGTCGAGGCGTGGCAGCACAAACGCACAGCTCATCATGCAAAGGCATTTTGGCAGTCATCGACTACTCAACCGGGACATCCTCGTTGAACCACGGTGATTTCATCCAAACCAGAGAGAAGGAAGAATGCCTAGACTCTAGACGGGCCAAGGTTCATCGCTGTCGGACACGGAGTGAAGGAGATGCCTTGGCTGCGGATCTGGGAGCCGGCGACAAGGACGAGGACACCGCATGTTTGCCCAGAACTCAAAGTGCTTCACAGTGCTTCCCGGTCTGGCTGTAAGCTGCCTTGAACATAGTAGCCAGCTCCGGCTACACCATCACTCTTCATGCAATCGTTGCCGGCAGGCATGGCAGCATGCTGCGCTGATTGGACGCAGTCCTACATCTCGATGACAGCTCACGAAATAACGCAGGCCGACGCAGGCCCTCTTCGACTTGTCCTGCAAAATACCGCCGCCATGCCCCGCCTGAAGTTTCCGTCGGCTCTTCCTCGTGAGAGGCTTTATCGGAAAACGCACACCGTGCCCACTGCCGGGGCGAGCCTGGAGCTGTGGCTCGGGGCCGCGGGGGCGGCGAGGGCCAGCTCCTGAGAGATTCAAGCTTCGCCTGGGACCTGCTGCTCCGCCTCTGACGATCTTCAGCTCCCATTCCAGAAACCGGAAGCCTAGAACTCTCAAGGTCCCCCCCCAGCCAAACTCACAGACTCTTGCGGACACCGCACGTTGCAGCTGGCCAGTCCTTGGGCACAGGGCTTGCCGATATCAATTCATCTCTGGAGCTCCAGGCCAGAGGTGGCTTTTCCTGAGCCAGGCGCCGCTATCGACTGCGCCCATTCTTTTGCATTCGGCGCTTGCTTCGCCCCGAGATGTCAAAGCATTCTTTCATGGGGCAAACTGCAAGGGTCGCCAAGGCTGCGAAGCCCGCCTATGGGAGGTCTTCTCTCTGTGCTTTTGGATCCAGTGCAACTTCCAGGTACGACCGTCAGATACCCTCTGCAGGCGCGAGTAGGAAGCCTGTTTGCTGCTGAGTCTTGTCAATCGATGCTGGGCCGAGATTTTTGGCGGACATGCATACATAGACAATGGAGACAGACGACGCTCTCCAAGAGCACCACATTCTGGAAAGATTCATGTGCCGGAAGCAGGACATCGCAGAAGAATGCTAACAAAGATCGCCTATTGCATGGTCGCATCTTACATGGAGGTTCACCAAGCGAGTAAACTTCCTGCATTCCATTGCGCCTGTTCAAGCTCTTCATCCCTTCTGTTTGAGTGTGAGTGCAGACAGGCTTTCACAAGCAAAACGAATCCTAGAAGTGCTACTCACCATACCAAAGCTAGGCGCCACGGGGGCCCGCGGTAATCAACACTTTAGGTTCTGGGTATGTCCCTTTCTCTGCTTGTCGCTGCTGGTTTGAGCGACTGCTCGCTGCTCGCTGTCTCACCTTGGAAAGGAAAGCTTCAAACTGCCCAAATGATGCCAAAGGTCTGATTACTCGTCCTCAGTTTCCAACGGTGCACCAGCAGGAGCTGCTAGCATGAAGCGATGTTGGCTGTTGGTCCTTTTGCCCTGGGTCCGAGCAGCAAGAGAGCCATGCCCGAAGCGGGATGCGGCGTCCAAAGACCTTTCCCTCCTTCCAGCCGCATCAAAACCAGAAGCAACTTCAGCTGCGGCTGACACTCTGGAGACACGGCCTGTGTCGGTCTTCGACCGATTCCGAAGGTTGGCCTTGGAGACCACTCATTGGACACTGACCAAACATGCAGATCATGGGCAAGGCTGGTCGTATCTTACTCGAATGCCATGGCTCCACTACACCAGCCAAGTCAAGTCGCCAACTCCTGAGCCAACTGCGCAAGCTTGCTCGCCTCAAGATTCACGCCCAGCCCAGCAGAACACTCGTTCGGCGCAATCGCGGCCCTAGTTGGTATACCGAGTACATCTGTTGAACATCCCCGAGGACCAGTGAACCGGACTTTCCCTCAGCGCTTGCAATGATCCTGGCCCAAGTTCTGGCCACATGCCGACGATATCCAACGATAGCGATGCGTCTGCTGTTTGCGTATGCAGGTGCTTGCCACACCAGAGCTGCCAGAAGCCGTAGATTATGAACACCTCGATGAGTATAAAAGGCAGCCCGGGTGCATTGAGGCTCTTTTGCTGGCGAAAATCCTCCACGTCCTGAAGCCATTGGAGCCCTGAGCTGCTAAGGGAATGCGGCTCTCGGGCCCGGAGCGCTCACAATATCGACTTCTGCCAGGAGGCTTTCCTCCTCGTCATCTGCATCGCCCTGGCACCGCTGGCCAGCTGCGGGCTCCCACTCCACCCCGCTCCGAGCCTGTGGGAGATCATCGCTGGGGTCGGTGGCCTTGTAGAGGAGCACCCTCCGGTCCATCCCAGCGGACGCCTGTGCTGGTTACTTATCTCGAACGCCTAAGCGACTTTCAGCCAAGCGTCACGATCCTGCCACTCAAACCTTGCCGAGGTACCAGGACATCGCCCGATGGGGAAAAGGCCAGGGCCAGAGGAGTGTCCTGCGCTTCCGCACCAGTTGCAGCGGAATCAGACAAGCCTTTCTATAGTACTAGCATGTACCAAGACAACATCGGTGGTTTGCCCACAGCTAGGCTTCCCGGAACACCCGCCTTGTGTCGCCCAAGCCTTCTTACCACCATACCACTCTCTGCATCGTAGAGAACAACCTGGCAGGACATGGCAGAAGCAGCTGCTGTTGCGCTGGGGTCCTTCTACCAGGCGGCGGTCGGCGACTGTCCAACGGCACCGTGGCAAGCAGCAACCAGACGCCCACCTGAAGCTTTACACGAACCATTGACTCGCCAGCAATGGCTGCGCGTCTGCACGCAGGGACCACAAGGATCCAGCCAGCCAGAAAGATCCAAACTGAGCATCTGCTGCTACGCGGTGCCTGGAGCAAAGGCAACGGCCCAAAGCAGCTGCGGGTGGCGTCGGACATGGCGTGGGACCTGAGAGAGCTTCGCATCTACAGAATACGAACCCATGCGTCATCTGGCAGCCGAGGTGCAATTTCTTCTGAACATTTCGCTAAGGATCTGCAGGCCGCCACTTCATCTTTGGAGAGCGACCACAGACGAAACCTACGGAACAGCAGTTCGCAGAGAAATGCAGAGAACACTCTCTAGTAGTGGGCGGCAGGCGGCGGCAGGCCTCCTGTCCCAGCCTGCGCTGGCGAGCTGGAGCTCTCTGTCAGACCATCCGACGGCGGTGACGTGATCCTCGCAACGTCAGGAGTGTAGGATGCCTAGTGCTCGCGCCAGTGTCCTTGTGGCCGGACAGCGTCCACAACGGTCTTTGCTGCTTCACATCCCAGATTTTCACCGTCCTGTCTGGCAGATTCTCAACTTCTGCATGCGACGCCCATCCAAAGCGCCTGTCCGCAGAAGCCGTGGCCACCAGCGTCGGATCGAGGGCTGAGTGGGCGACCTCGGCTTTGCCGGCAGTAAGCGGAGCGTGGTCGAAGGGGCAAACGACCAGACCAAGCGGCTGCATAAAGTCCTCCTGCTCAGCCATCAGCATTTCTCACTGCACATGAGTCTTGAGGATGCGATTCGATCCGGGAAAAACAATAGGACAGCCTGAAATTTAGCAGCCGCTCCAGTAGCCGCACCGTAGTCTTCACTCGTTGCAGGCAAGGGTCAATCAAAATCCAAGCAACCCGGAAAAGGGTAATGAGAACGATAACAAGAAAGCAATAACATTGTGCGCCCTACACCTCCAACCTTCCTCCCACACCTCTGCCACATCTGCCAGAGCTCATTGGCAGTGTAGCCCGAGAGGCGAGCACAAACACCATTTCACAGCAAAGGCAAGCGGTATGCAAGCTACAACCGGCCCATGGTTGGTTCTAGAAAGTCAGTTCAACAAGTGTGAATGCCTGCCGGCGGCACCCGAACCTTTCCCGCGAAGCCCCAACACCAAAACGATAGGAACAACGATTTCGAGCAACAAGCGCACTCCTACATGTGCCAAAACGACGTTTGCCATAACATTCACAACTGGAAATATTATGCGGACGCCTCCGCTGCGAAGCTCGGCCAGGGCCGACCCCTGGCCCGTCCCAAAGAGCCGCAGCCCGCCGTCCCAGGCCGCCGTGGCAAAGCCGCCTAACCAAACGCTGGTTTGGCGGCGTGAGGATTCAGACACTTCCAGAACTTGCTGCCACAACACCACTGGGATCGACGGAGATCCCAAAGACCTGAGTGAATTTCTTCAAAGTGCACCAAACATCTCAAGCAAAACAATCATGGACTTTGGGCCTGGAGCGTTATCTGTGCAGCAAGGAGACCGTCCTCGGATGGGGAATCCGCTGCAAGATTCTCCCGGACGCCTCGGCGGGCCGTGCACGGGCCTCCAAGCCGGGCTCAGAAAAAGCCGGCAAAACTGCTCCGAGGCACGAGGTCCCAGAGCAGCGTGGTGTTGTCCGCTGCTCCAGAGAGAAGTGTGCCATCGGCGAAAGCAAGGGCCGTAACGCCATAGCGATGGCCAGTGAGCCTTCGTGCAGAGAGGAAGCGCAATGCTGACTTCGAAACATTCAAATCCAAGGCTCGCCATGAGCAAAGCTCACGGAAACAACCAGAAAATGGACTCCAAATTCCTTTACCTTTATCTGTCTATCCTCATATCTACACTGATCTGACAAAGCTAAGATCAGGGCTTGCGCCAAGGCCTCAACTCGTCAAAGGGATAGTGCCCGTGAATGCTCGAGCACAGGAGCATCGCGGAACAACTCTTTAAGGCCAACGACTCGTAGTCAAGCAGCCGCGAGGGTGCGGAGATATTCCAGACACAGATCACGCCCTCCTGCCACAAGAGTCTGCCGAGGATGGCGGGGTTACAGCAGCAAGGCTTGTTGCTGCAAAGCATCCGCTGAACCCAAACTCTGATGCCCCAATACCTGATGATGCCTCTAGGTGCTGGACAGCATGGACATACGTGGCGGCGACATGCTGGTGCTCAGTTGATGCTGCTGCTACAGCTGGGACGTGACTGAAGTACTTCAGCAAGCTGCAGTAGGCTTATGAAAGTTGTCCTGCACTTGCAGCTCGGCAGGCGTGGCCTAGGATATCCTAGGATCTATGGGCCCTGGACTCTGGAGTCATAAACCTTGAGTCAGCTCGAATTAGACTCAAGGTGATGCACGAGCAGTCCCCCTCTTCAGCATCGGGCACATTGCTACTTCAAAACCCCACTGACACTTTCCCGCCCCCCCCCCCCCGGCTCCCTGCACTCCATAAAAACAAAGACGCGTTGAACCCACATGGGCCAGACCTTGTCACCGGATGCCAATAGACCTTCGGACGAGATGGCGATAGCATAGATGGCACGCTTGTGGCCTGAACCCAGGGTGTGAAGCTCACAAGCATCGGCTCTGAGGATTCGGTGGGACAGCCTCCCAGATCCACCTATCCAAACCGAAACAGAAATCCGATCCCAATCCCAACCGCGCCTTGCAGCTGCCCAAGGAAGCCCGGATGCAGGGTTTCATTGGAAGGCTCGAGCTGCTCCTTCAAGCATGGGCTTTGTACTACTGCAGCCTCTTAGCGACGCAACAGGTGTCTCGGCAACAGCAGGCGGGGCACCGAGCCAGCTCAGTCCGAAAGTTAGAACAACCGGATTAGGTATCAAAGTTGAACCCAAATGCAAACCGACTTGGCGGAAGCCAAGACCTGGAATGGCAGTCCTTCGGCTGAGTGGAAGCAGCCTTTTCCAGACATTCGCATGCGAACCTGGGTTGAGCAGGCTGGTATGCCGTGCTAGACTGCACCTGAAAAAGACACCTCAATCTGCCGGCAAG